GGCATACCCTCCAGGGTCTTGAGATTGAGCTGCAGTGGCAGCTCAGCATGAAAGCCACCTTGGAAGGCCACCAGCGCACTTTGGAGCTCAGCTGGTGCAGATCCAGGTGCCGATCAGCAGTATCGAAGCTCAGCTGGGCGATGTGCTAGCTGACAGTGAGAGGCAGAATCAGGAGTACCAGTGGCTCATGGACATCAAGTCGCGGCTGGAGCAGGAGATCACCACCTACCTCAGCCTGCTCAAGGGCCAGGAAGATCAGTACAACAACCTGTCCACCTCCAAGATCCTCTAAGGCGGCAGGCTCCTGGCTTCTGCTTTCCTTTAAAGGGTGTCTCCTGGGTAGGAGGATGAGAAGGAAGGGACACTTACCTCTGGCTCTTCCACTATCTGCCAATAAAATTTTATGACCCAAGGAAAAACAAAATAGAATCATGGACCCGGGGGAATTCTGTGTGGCCCTGTGCCAACTTGGGGAAAAGGGAGGAGAGATGTGGTCAAAATAAGACCATTTCTCTTACCATTTTAATGTGGTTTTTATCCAGTTCTGTGGTCCACACTAGTGTCAGGCCCATTCCCAATTTAGGGAGTTTTTCACAAAAGTTCTTGTCTGTGGACAGTTGTTAGCTGGACATTTTGTTGAAGGGACATGAAATCTGGGACCTCCCATTCAACATCTTGCTGTTGTCACTCTCCCCTCCTTGATCTTTTTGACTAAAAAAGCATCTGTCTGATGCAGTGGCTAATGGCTATAATCACAGCCCTCTGAGAGGTCAGGGTGAGGGGATAGGTTTAGGCCAGGAGGTTGAGGCTGCAGTGAGCCATGATCATGCCACTGCACTCCAGCCTGGGCAATACAGTGAGGCCCTATCTCTAGAAAAATAAAGAAATAAAATAAAGCCTCATGGCTCCTTTTGGTCATGTTTACCTTTTTTTCCTCAAAAACAGGTCATCTTTACCTTTTTTTAAATCCTCAGTTCATTTGGGTCTTACTTTATAGAACTTTTATAGTACATCTGCTACATTTCCCCATTCACCTTTGGTTACTCTCCCTTCTTATATTTTATAAACATGTCATTTGAAATTTGAGATTAATAGACAACCATTTGACTTTCCTGAGCTGTCTCCCATTTTATTTGAATTATTTCTTGGTTTTTAAAAATCTCTCTTCATTAACCATAATCTTATTTGAGACTCAATTTCATAAGTCAAAACTATTTTTTTCCTTGAATATTTTTAAAGTTTCCTCAAAGCCAGGGTATTTGCCTGACTCTATTCGGGGTTCCCTTTTCTGGCCATAAGAGCTTTGAATGCTCACAATTTTTCATACAGCATATTATTGATAATAGTCTCACAGGTGATATACTCTCACTGGTATACCACAATTTTCACAAAACTCAAATACATTTTTCCTGAAAATAAAACATTGTAATCATTTTTAGTTGCCACATATATTGGCTACATATTAGTTAGGCTTGCTCTCTACAATGTTTCTGGGGATACTGATAAACAAGCTATTGATTATGTGGCATTCCTTGCTACTTTTGCTAACACCAGTCTTTCTCACTTAAGAAAACATAGTTGTAAGAACATGAGAGCAATGATATCATCGAGATAACCTTGACTACACTCAAATGTATGTATTTTTAGAAGGCAGATCATGTGCAATTTTAGTGCTTTCACCATTAGTAATAAATTACTTGCAACACACCCCATGTGTCAAAACCAAGCTGAGAAATAATCCAGGTGCGTTCTCCTGAGGTTTGTATCCCCCTCCGCATCATCAACTAGCTTTTTCACTCCATCAAAATTAAGTCCAGGCTTCGCTTGATTTTCATTATGAGGACAGTGAGTAATTTATCTGATGAGGATGGTCCAAGTAAACTGCCTTGACAAATAACCTGCCTTTGTACAATTCAGGCACCTTTCCATATCCACCATTTGGCTCAGTAGTCTGTAACATTATACAGTCATATTATTTCCAATATTGGTAGTATTTTAGTATTCTGTTTCTATGGGCCTTTTAAATTCATGGCAATGAAATTGCATGACATCTATAGCAGAGTAAGGACATAAAAGTTTTGTAACCATTTAATTTAAAGTAAGTTGATCTAAAATAAATTCAAGCTAAACACAAAATTGTCTGCAAAAGATATTTTTTTTAATTGACACAATGAATACTGAATTGAAAACTGTTAGCTCATTAGACAAAGCACTGAGTGATGAAAGCACCAAGGACAACCAGGCCTGAAAGAAAGGAAAAGAGATGGGATGAGAGGAGAGGAGAGAGGAGGGGAGGGGAGGAGACGAGAGAGGATGGGAGGGGAGGAATAAAGGAAAGGAATTAAAGGAAAAGAAAGAAAAAGAAAGGAAGGTGGGAGGGAAAGGAAAGGAAAGAAAATTATATAAGAAGGGGAATTGGAGGAGTTCTGAGAAGGCTATCCATTCATACAGATTATGCCTAAACTAGAATTAATTTTTCTTTTTAATTAAGAATGATTTAGAATGAACAATTTTTCCATTCTACAACTGCTTGTATTATAATTTCTAGAAAGTGGTACCTTAAAGTCCATCGGTTTCTTACACAAAATGTTGTATTTTCTTATTATTTTAAATTTAAAAATTATTAAATTTTCTACTTCAGGACTGCTGACACAGCTTTAGAAATCTATTCTATACTTCCAAATCTTCCTTGTAATGAGAATATAATCTTTAGCAAGATGGCAGCCACAACTCCCCCCCTGCATGCTTGTGGCATCAAGAAAGGGAAGTGGTAGGAGGCCCAGAACACTAGCGGGACTTCTACCCATGTCAGGGTAGAGGTAAGAGAATCCAAGAAGGGGGTAGGTGAGACTGTAGACAGGAGTAAGGGAGAGTCACCAGAACAGGACCTCTCCACCCTCTTTGGACGACCAGGTGAGAGGTGCCCGGCCAGCGAGTCCAGATATCCCAATCAGCATTGGGATGTCCTGCAGAAAGCATATTATGAAGGTAAGACAGGAATGAGAGGCATCCTTGGAACCACCTAGTGGGAGCTGAACTGCATCGGCAGAGGGGGTATGGCAAGTCCAGCATCCAGTTGAGCAATTAGGGGAGATCATGAGAGCAGGGTTCAGCCGTGGCTAGGGGGTAGTCTCACCATGGATGGGGGGCAGTCTCACCATGGATAGGGGGCAGTCTCACCATGGATATGTGGCAGTCTCACCAATGGCAGAGGAGGGGCAGTTGACAGTAACCAGGGCTTGACTGTGAAGAGTGGACAAGTGGCTGAAGGTTGGTGAAGGGATGCGCAGCAAGCCGGGTTTGGCCACTCAGTGGGTGAGCAAAATGACCCTGTTGTGGAAATTGTCAGTGACTTCAGTGCTGAGTAATCAGTGAATAGGTCTCAAGAAGCAACATCTTGATGTGAAATGTCGGGCCACCTGGAGCAGTGAAAGACAGCAAGAACATTGGGGCTTGGAAAATGGCTCTAGGGATATAAAAGGTGTTGAATGGACTTGGCAGTATCAGGCTTGGAGCTGCTTAATTGCAGAGCAGTGACAGGCCAGAATGGAAGAGGAGGACCAGGAGAACTCAGAACTAAGCAGTAATGTCTGCAGACACTATGCACTGGATGATGCTGTAGATGCAAAAGTGTGATCTTGGAGGTGGTCCAGTGAAGCCAGAATTTCAGGTCTTGTCCATCCCAGATGGCTTCCCAGCACAACTGAGGTTTCCAGGAGGTGCAGGCCATAAAAACTGAGGTGGGGGTGGCCTACTAGGCAAATGCCAGGTAGCAATTAGTCGAGGTGGGTGGGCCAGTCTCCATGGCTATCCTGGGTATTAACGGTGAAGGTATCTTCCAGCAGGTAGAGAAGTCTATGTCTGGTCCAAGAGGGCCTGATGGGGCAGGGGCCCTTGTAATCCTGATACGAGGTGCATAGGCAGTGCCTGGGCCCAAAATGTGTCTGTGAGGTGAAGGTAGAGAAGCTTTTGTGCACGAGGTAGCTCCTCATAGACCAGATAGACTCAAGTTGGGGTTAAGGGCTATGAGTGTTGCCTCTGTCCTGTGAAGACGGAAGGTGTATAAACCCACTGGAGCACACCTAAATGTCTCAATAGCTCTCTTCCTTCCTTTGTGATAGGTACATCATCCACTTCCAGTTCAGCCCGGGTTGTAAGGAGGCTCATGCTGGAGTGTGCTGCTTGCCAGGCCATAAACAGTCAATGCGACAGAGCACAGGAGTAGCTTCTGTCACGCCTGCCTGATCTGGGCCCAGAGTCCCACCTGACTGTGCTTCCTGGATAAACTTGATAGGATCGTTAAGTAATGAAATCAATCTTCCCATCTTTGGAGATAGCTGCCAGCTGTTGTATTCTTGGCCTGTGAATTGTAGACCCTTCCTGTTCAGTACGCACAGTACAGCCAGGTGGCACCTTTCCTGCTGGGCCTCCGCATCAGGTGTTTGAGTGGGCTTCGAATATCTGCCTGTGTCAAAGGGCCTACAGTAGTACCCCCTTATCCGACGTTTTGTTTTCCATGTTTTCAGATACCCAATTTCAACCACAGTCCGAAAATTTTTAATGGGAAATCTACAAATAAACAATTCATAAATTTTAAGTTGATCTTGGAGGTGATCCAATCAAGCTAGAGTTTCAGGTTTTGTCCGTTTCATATGGCTGCCAAGCGCAAGTAGGGCTCTGAGTGTTTCCAGGAGGTGTGGCTGTGAGTGGCCTGATGAAATCTTTTGCCATCCTGCTCCATCCCACCCAGGATGTAAGCCACCCCTTTGTCTGGAGGATCTACACCATGCCACACCATGCACTCCCCGCCCATCAGTCACTTAGGAGGCGCCACGGTTATCAGATGGACCGTCGTGGTATCATGGTGCTTGCATTCCAGTAACACTTATTTTACTTGACAGTGGTCCCAAAGCACAAGAATAGTGACTCAGGCAACTTGGATATGCCAAAGAGAAGCTGTCAAGTGCTTCCTTTACATGAAAAGGTGAAAGTTCCTGACCTAATAAAGTAAAAAAAAAAAAAAAAACCCTCATATGCTGAGGTTTCTAAGATTTAAGGTAAGAATGCATCTTCTATCCATAAGAATTTCCTTAGTCTGTTTTCTGTGGTCATAACAGAATGGACAGGAGTAAGGGAGAGTCACCAGAACAGGACACTGAGTAATTTATAAAGAAGAGAGGTTTACTTTGGCTCACAATTCTGGAGGCCTAGGAGTCAAAGATCTGCCCACTATATCTGACCAGCTTCCAGTGAGGCCTCTGCCATGTCACAGCATGGCAGAGAAGTGGAAAAGGAAGCAGAGTGTGCCAAAGGGAGCCAAGACAAGGAGGAACCTCACTTTGTAACAACCAACTCTGACGGTTACTAACCCAGTCCTGCTAGAGAGAGTACTTGCTTTGGGATCTGGGATACATTCTTCCTCACCCTAGCTATTTCTGGAGGTGGCAGCTGCTTTCTTAACTGTGGCCAGGAGGTGACTGGCAATGCCTGTGGTGCCACTGGGGGTAATCTGGCACACTCAGGATGATCACGCCACAGCTCACAGGCCTCCAGGTCAGCCAGGTGCAGAGTGGCAACTCTGAGGTGAGGGAGCCCCGTGATTTGGATGTGCTGCACATGGGCTGCTGCCAGCAGCACCCAGTAGGCATTGTAGGGGTGGTAAAGCCCTGGGGAAGCCGCACTGTCTCACTGGGAGCATGCAGAGGAACAGAGATAGCAGCAACATGCCCGTTGGTGATTTGGTGACTTTGCTAACAGCATTAGACCAGGGGTCTGTTGAAGTCTCTTTCCCCGGTTGGCGGGCAACAGATAAGCTTTCTGTGGAGAAGCTGTACTTGAGCCTTCTTGGTCTGTGGGGTCATGATGCCAGGACCTTTGGGGACGGGGAGCTCCTCTCCCATAGCTGAGGCTAGAGACACACCAGTTGGTGGGTGGCTCTTCAAGCCCAGGGTGTCCCCCAGCTTACAGCATTCCTACCACCCTCCTCCTAGGAGCCCACCTTCCTGTGGGACCAGAGTGGTCTTAAAAGTAATTTTGGCAAATTTTGCCTGGTGTCTACCTCCAAAACAGAGGCATGAAGTGAAGGTAGAAGGCAGCAACAGATGTGAAAACAGAACAAAAACTGCCAGACCCACTGTAGAGTGTTCCTCAGATCTCACCCAATCTCTCGATCACAGCCAGGCCCTGGCCACTCTCCCTTGATCCTCCTATAGAAATGGGTGTCATCACTCATTGACTTACTTAAATTTCATCCTCTTACAAGGAAAGCAGGAGTTGGCTGGTGTCATGGGCCGGATATAGTCAGAGGTCAGATGACCAACTGACTAGGAGGGCTTCTATTTGAGGACCATTCTCAGAGTTTGGGAGATCTTTCCCATTTCTTATACATGTATTCAGTCTGGGTCAATTACCAAGTGTTTCTTTCATAGAGCAGGTTTAATCTAGTAAGGGTAGGCTTTGTTCTAAGATTTATGAAAGTTGCATCTGTGCTGAGGTGGCCTTGTCTCCTGGAAATCACTGGGACAGGTTGCATCCTGCTAAGTTGCATGTAATATCAGCCCTGTGAGATGCTTGAGTCGGTCTTATCACTATCATTAATCTTAAAGCCACAAGATGTCTCTTATAGTACACTACAGTTATTAAAATATTCCCTTTCTAAAAAAACTAAATTTTATTTATGAACTCCTTTCCTATGTATTTAAGTTCCCCGATGTTTTTAACCTAGGAAAAGAGTCTAACCAAATGAATCTACTGAGGCTTCCCTTTCAAAATCCTCAAATATCCTTTGGGGTTCTAAAACAGACTTTCAAAGGGCAGTAAGTAATTTCAAAAGCTTTTTCTTTATCACAGAAATCAAAAGATAATATGGCAGAAGACAAACTGCTTGGCTTGTGATTCTTTGGCCACTTGTATATCTTCTGACAAAGCAGAAGAAAGAAGGAATGAAGGAAGGAAAGGGAGGGAAGACCAGGAAGGAAGAAAGAAGGGAGAAAATAAGAGCAAATAGCAAAATATTAAAAGACTGATTTAAAGTTATTTTTAAATATCCATATTATCTGTCAGCAGATGTGTTTCAATGTAACAGTTACCATTTTTAAAGAAATGGTCTATTTGTCATAATCCTCTTTGTATACTTACTTTTACTAATACCTATATTTCTAAAGAAAAGCAAACATTTTTCTTACATGCAATATGAACACAACTCTATAGTATTACAATGTATAATGGTATGAAGAGACAGAGCCCTCCCTCCCCCATGAGTTAGATTTAACCTTAGTGAACGAAAAATCCTTTGTGATCCCACACTCTCCATTAGGCAATGTCAGAAAACGTCCACAGAAAATGCCATAATGCACTTCGAACATGAATAAACATCAAGGCTTAGCTGGTTTTGCTAATGTTTCCTCGTTACTCAAAAAACTGTATTTTTAAATACAGAGTTCATTTGCTACTTTCATATGAACTTATTTTTAAGAACTAAAACAGTACCCTAAAAAGTATTAATAATTTAGTAAGCAACACTCTAAAAATTATTTCTGTAGACCTTTTCCACACAAGAAAAAAAATCAACGTTATTTGTCTTTTCAGTTCAGAGGTCTCATGCTATTTTTTAAACACACTTAAAAGCATTCCATTTGTGATTTTCACACACAATGTGAAAGTCTGTCCAAAAGTCATCCAAACCTAGGGTCAATTATACCCTTAGATGCTAATTTTGTAGCTCACATGCACCTGAGCTGCACAACCTTAGCAATAATGCTCTGGTCTGGAACTTTCACTTTTAAAAGTCACCTGAGATTCCACACTTGACCTCGAACAAAGCAGCAATTTTTCTGAGTCATCCCTGTGACTTCGTGTCCAAAGCTCACCTACACTTTGAGACCTGGGAAACAGGGTCTCAAATTGGATATAAGTCTCTTTTGCCAAATCATCTTCCCAAAAAGGTTCTGACTTACATTGCAGTTTGCAAACTTTGTACAACAAGAAACAAATCAATAGTAAGACAACAACACAGGCAGTACTGGTCACCACGAGAAGGAGAGACCATTGAGAATCATCTCCTTCTACTGTTTCGGTAGAAAAGGTGATGCATTGGTCTTTCTGGGGAGGCACTCCTTTTGGACAGACACAGGCCATGTATTGCCCACCAGGTTCCAAGCCATCTATGGTTACTTGGTTCTTGCTGGAGTCTGCATTCAACAGCAGCAGGTCCTTCCCACCATACTTGGAATACAACACAGTCACTGCAGAGTTATGTGTGGTGTTGATCATATTCCACGTCAATGTCACACTCTCTTTAGTCTCGCTGACCACCCTGAGGTTTTCTATTGTGGCATTTGTCTCCGTAAGCATTGTTTGATCCAACAATGCCAGCTCTTCTTTCTTACTTGTGCTGGCTGGAGGAAGCTTACTTCCACTCTTTGCTGCCTTTAAATTTCTTTTCCCATCTGGGTGGAGCTGGAATGATTGCTTGTTGGCCATGGTGGTGGCTGAGATGCTTGTGCTCAGAGTTGTGATTGAAGAAACAGTGGAGGAGAAGAAAGGAGATAAAGAGAAGGAAGCAGTAGAGGGAGGAGACAAAGTAGAAGCAGAAAAAGAAGATGTGGGGGAGAAGGAAGAGGACCAAGGATATGATGATGTGCTAGATCCAGATGTAGATCTTCCAGATCCCGGCTGGGCATCCCGCTCAGGATGATCTCCAGTTCTTTCAGAAGTGTCTGGTGGTATCGGAGTTGTGGTAATGCCAAGCACTGTCACAGTAACCACGGCTTCTGACATCCCAGCCAGATTTTTGGCCTTACACTTGTAATCCCCAGCGTCTTTGGAAGAAATGCCTGTCAAGCTCATTATGGACCATCTGACTCCTTCCTCTGGAGATTCTTGTATTACTGGAAGAAAACAAATGTATACTCTGTGAGGAACAAAAGGAAAATTCAAGCAACCATGCCAACTGAGGAGGAAACAACTATCCGCTCTACATGCATCTCTCACAGAAACCGAGAGGGAAATGGCACCCTGCAAGTCTCTTGACAGTGGGCGACGGTTCTGCAAACTGCTTACATCAAGGTCTAGGAGCTGCCAGGTGTTGTGAGGTCTGTATAGGGAATAGTATTTTTAAAAAACAAAAGGCTGGGAATCAGGAGACTTAGGTTTTAGAAACTTTTGCCCACTAAATAGCATGTGGTTGTGAGTAAGTCAATTCCTGTCTTTAGGCCTCTGTTTCTGCATTTATAAGAGGATGAGATAAAGTAATCTCAAAGGTCCCTTTCAGTTTTAAGTCACTGCAATTCTATAGAATGTTTATCATATGACCTTACATAAGTATTGCTTATGATATGTTTTCACGGTAATAAAATGCATATATCCTTCTAGCCAGAGGTACAGCAGATCATTTTCTGGCATGGCAGAGTCATCATTTGTATTTGGAATGATTTATTTTATATTTAACTTAGATAAACTAGCAAATCATGGATTCTTCTGTTTACAGAATAACATATAATTTTTTAAAAAATCAGAATTTTGCTATCCTAAACTCTGATATCTGGGTATATTTTCATTCTGTCTTGATTTCAGAAGCTTTTCAAAGAATAATAATGCACAGAACAATATCCCAGTAACCCAAAACTTAACTCACAAGCTGAAACTGTGGACCATTGACTATCTATATATAGGAACGTTAGACCTTAACTTCTTTATTTCCACCAGGTTTCATTATTTCAACCTGAATTTTAGTTTAATTTTGAAGAGTTTTAAAAATATATCACTTTAATTGTCAGAATAACACTCTTGAAACTGGGTACAAAGCATGCATATTGTCACACTAGAATCTGAAAAGTCTATATAATCAATATTTCTAAAAATTATACTTTTTGATTCACAATAAGGTCTCCATGTAATTTATTATTTAAATAATTATTCAAAAATGAGAGACTTGTACAAAAGCTTCGCTCCACCCGGCGTTTTTGTTGTTGTTGTTGTTGTTGTTGCTGCTGTTTTATTTTGGAGACGGAGTCTTACTCTATCACCCAGGCTGGAGTGCAGTGGTGCAATCTTGACTCACTGCAACCTCTGCCCCTCAGGTTCAAGCGATTCTCCTGCCTCAGCCTCCTGAGTAGCTGGGATTACAGGTGCGCACTACCAAGCCCGGCTACTTTTTGTATTTTTAGTAGAGATGGAATTTCACCATGTTGGCCAGGCTGGTCACAAACTCCTGACCTCAGGTGATCTGCCCACTTCAGCCTCCCAAAGTGCTGGGATTAGAGGCGTGAGCCACCGCACCCGACCAGCAAAAGGCCCTTTTTAAAAAATTGTAATAGTTGTACATTTTGAAGTGAGCTGTATACAAGATGATGAAGCAAGACAAAGGCCTTGTCTGCCATTGATCCATTCACTGCATTGTTTCATTCTACCTAAGAAAAAGAGTTTAGATTGTCTAATTTTATCTAGGTAGTTAGATAAACTAAGGAGAATACTAACCAATAAAATGTACCTTTAAAATCCCTTGCACCCAATAATCTTGAAATATTTTATTAGTGTTAACTAGCTAATTTCAAATCACACAAAACATGATGTTAACTTCAGAGCTAAGTAAACTCCTTTGATCATGGGGCTGAATTAAGAAAATACCTGTATAATTAACTGGCGAGCTGTCAGATCTGGTCCATGTGAGCTGTGGGGTGGGGAAGCCAGTGGCATCACACCGCAGTAGAACATTACTGCCAAGAGCAGACATGATTTTGGTGGCTGAGGTCATCACTGATGGTTTCAGACAATGCTCCAATTCAGCCCGCTGAAACAAAATTCCTGTGAGGCGTTCAGGTTCACTGCAAGTCATCATTGGATCCAGAAGCACTATAGCAGGGTCAACAACCTTTGACAACTCGATCATTTTGGAAATACGACAGTCACAGAACCAAGGATTGTCCTGTAGACCTAAAACAGAAGATGGGAAAGGTTGACAAAGATAATTCTGATGACTCAGTTTACGTCCTGCCTCTTGAGAAGGTAGGGATCTACACTATCTCCCTAAAAACAGAAGTGCTTTGAGGGATGAAGCAGTCACCTTTATGTCAGTTTTGCTCTGCAATCCAGCAATCTCGATGAATATATCCTGTCCATTAGTTCAGATCATTAATAATCATGGCTAATACTTATTGAGCATTTACTCTGCTAGATTATCTTCTAAGCACTTACCTGTATTATCACATGTAATCCCAATAATCCTATGAGAAAAATGATATTATTATCCCTATGTTAACGATGAAGCTCAGACTTTATCTATCCCTATGTTAAAGATGAGGCCTCAGAGGGGCCCAATAACTTGGCCAAGGTCACAAAGCTAATTAGTGTCAGAGCTAAAACTTTAATCCAGGTACCATAGAATGCCACAATACAGTAATAAAGATCTTTCAAAGGTGTTATGAAAGTACTTACAGTATTGTAAGTATTATAGGGTGCTCAGAGGCACCAAATTCAGCCTGAAACAGGTTATGGTTTTATGTGATTTGAAGGTGTATTGAGGTAATGCAAGCTTTGTGTGGCAAAAAATATAGAGTGAGATGCTGGCAATGGCAGGAGAGAAGCCTAAAAAAGCTGGTGGAAGCAAGAACGTGGCTTGGCATGAATGTCATATGTGGTGACCATGAAGGTGACTTGCTCAATACTCCTTCAAGAGAGAATCAGCTGCAAGCAACGCGGTTAGCGGACAGCTTCCGGTTGCAAGCATCTTCAGGATGCCTCACTTTCAGAATTGTTAGCAGAAGCCTTTGGGCCTTCAAGGAGGCTATCAGTGAGAGCTTGAAGAAAAGTGAGGAAAATGTTGCTGGAAACTAGAGGAAAGAGGATCTTTGCTATGGAGTAGCAAAAAGTTTAGCAGCACTGTCACCTGTGGTCCACATGGAAAGTCAAAAACGATATTTCCACAAAGACTGTTCAAACTACTCCCTGGTGTGTTTCAGGTAATAAAATATAAAGGAGATTTATAATAAAATATAAATAAACAGTTAAAGAAGAACTGTTAAATATAAAGGAACCGAAACTTGCTGAGTTCAATTAAAAAACTGTTTCTTATTCTCGGCCTCTCCAAAATTCTCGAATTAAGATAGAACTTCAGAGCAAACATCAAATCCAGGTGGGACTATAAAATTTTGTGCTAAAATCTCAGAAGGATCTAAAATGGAGCTTTAGAGCATTCTGTCAGGCAAAAGTCTCTCTAGGATCTTAGGAGTGATGTTCCATAACAGCCTCATATAAAGCCCAAGATAGAAAAAAATTTATCACAGAGATTTGTGGTTATAGCTTTTTACTAATGGAGTGGATTATAAATTGAGAAGAAAAGACAGAACTGCAATTTTACAAATTCTAACCATGGTGGAAATGTAACTGTTAGTTCATAAATTCTAGATTTTTATTATACTTTTTAAAAATTATAATAGCAAGTCATGACTGGCTCATATTTTTCTGCCAGTATTGGTAAAAGTTTACTTTTTCATCTCCTGTTTTAGAAGTACGCTTTTCTTCCATGGGTGAATAACTTTAACCTTTTCCTCTTATATTTAATGTTGTTAATCTATACCTAGTTATTGAACCAAGATTAATTTGAATTCTGTTGTCTGTTGGCTCTTTCATCCAATATTATGTGATAAGCAGACTCTCTGGCTTATTTTATATTGCTATGACTAAGTGTGGCTCTGGAACTTAATGTCTGGGCTGAAATCTCGGTTCTATCAAGCTTCACTCCTACAAGTAGATATCTATAATAACAACCTCTCTCAGCCTCATCTATAGAATGCAGTAGTTCTTTCATAGAGTTGCATGAATTTTTAATTACATAATTCATGGAAATTACCTTGAACAATGGTTTATTCACAGTAGAATCTCTGTGACCTTTAAACTTTCTTGCTGAACACAGTACTTAAAATCTTTTGTAAAATATAGTCATTTCAATCTCTGAATAAGTAACAAATTTCATACACATAAAACATATTCCCTATACTAGAGTCCATATTTTCTTGATCTTAACAAAAGAAACCAAATGTAATACAATCTGTACGTCTACTAAGAAAGAATTCAAAACAAGTACATAAGTAATGGTGGAGATATGATCTGATAGATACCGAAACACCTATAATAATGCAGTCAGTTCATAGACATTCAAAAACCCACTTCACCACCAGATACCACATTAGATATTCAGTCATTATTGTTCATATTAGTTGACCTGATATGTGAAGGCCAGATTTAAATATATGAAAGAGAAATTTTAAAAGTAACAGGAAATGACATTCTCACCAACTTTACTGTGCCTGGGTTCCTGATGAGGCTCAACCATTAATTAATTCTGTGACCTGGATGATGCAACCTTGCTGAGCCTCAGTTTTCTCTTCAGCAAAATGGGAGAGTTGACTAGATACATGCTAGAGCTTTTTATACCCGTAATGTTCTATCTGCCTATAAAATAAAAATAATGATCATAGACTAAAAGAAACCATAGATGGAACAACAAACTAACACTAAAATCCATCATCACTCAGTAAAAAGCAGAAGAATATGATAGAATACCTAATTTGTAACATTTTTATCTCTATTGATTGAGGTGCTAAAGATAATCTGTGGATCTAGACTCTCCTAATAGTGCTTATTTTTAAACGTTAAATCTTTCAAATTTGTGACTTTTCTATGTCTACACTGATACACAGTTCAAATGTGAATATCATACAAAGTGAAGCTAGTTTATCAACTTTGACTATAATACAGACTAAAAGTAGTCAATTCTCCTTTTATAAACAATATAACTGGTTTTACTTATTAAAATTGAGGGGAGGGGGAATCACTAACCTCTTCCAAAGGCTGAAATCCCTTCAGTAGTTTATTTTACTTTGTATATGTACTTTTTACATTAACCAGTTTTGCTCATATACATGTAAATGTTATTATAAAGAACTAAATTTGGAATTAGATTGTTTGACTGTGACCCACACGATTTAACAAATTAATCAGGTCAGTTTGTGTGTAACGTGCCAATAACCTCTACAAAAACTTATAAAAGATTAAAAATGTTGTTATCAATTGGTATTGTCAGAATTGTGAGCTGTAGTTTGCAAGAACTCGGTGAAATAACATATGGCTTGCCTCTCACAAGTAATAAAATCTCAAAATGAAGATCCAATCATGTGTCTGCTCCCTGAGCGAGAGAGAAAACCAGTGAAGAGAAGAGCACAGGACGCACCCTGGCAAGTGTCCTCTAGGGCAAAGGGATGTTATCATGGTGCCTAAGAGGAGGAGAGGGGATATTTTAAGTTAGATAAAAACAATCAAAAAATTTAGAAAGGAACATGTAAACACCCACCTTAATATAGTAAGAATTCATAAATAGAATGATACTAAAACACTTACATTGAAACAAAAGGTTATATTTTATATTTTATATCTATAAAATTTGTGTCAATATTCTATATATAAAAGCTATGCTCATCATAGCTATCTGATTTGATTTTAAGATTAATTTCTAAATCTGCCAGCACATCAAATTTATTCAGTCATATAATATGTATAGACTATTTCATATTTTGAAAACACTTCAACTTATGCCAGATTTTTTTCTTTATATAATACTAGCAATGCAAGTTACAAGTTGCTGATTGCTTCCTATGTGGCAAAGACTGTGCTTGTCCAAAACTGCAGAGGCTCTGAGATTTGACCCTACTTTAGGGTGACCAACCTATTCCAGTTTGCCAGCAACTCATTTCAGTTTGCCCAGGACTTTCTTGCTTTTAGCACTGAGAGGTCCACATCCTGGGAAACTCCTCAGATATGGGCGAGTTTGCCTGCCATCATTTTATGGATGTTGGTAGAAGACACAAGACTCCTGCTCAGGGTTGAAGGAGTTCATTGCTCACAGCACTGAAGGGAGACATCTTTATTATACTGGGTAGTAAGCATACTTACCCTTTGCTCTGGAAGGAGATATATTTCAACCTCCAAAGCTGTTCTCTTGAAAACAGCTTGAAAAGGTAATGCAGAATAAAAGGTAATCCTTGAAAAGGTAGTGCAGGATAAAAGGTAATCAATGTCTGCCTCTGCTCACAAGACACGCAGAGATTCAGGAGATCAAAGAACAGCACTAAGCGTCTGAAGGATGGTCTGACTCAATCCTCACAAAAGCATGGGATAGGTAGTACTATTATCATCCCCATTTTAAAGATGAGAAAACCAAGGTTCAGGAAGCTTAAGGAATATGCCCAAGGTCACACAATTGGACAGCCAGGATTTGAACTTCAGCATCCTGATCTTGAACCACCATGCTGGTTAAAGCTCTTAACCACCCACCACAGTGGTTAAAGGTCTTAACCGCCATGTTATGCCTTATACCATACCTCTGGCATCTGGTATTATTCTTCCAATTTTACACCAAAGGAAACCAAAGCACAAAGATATTACTACCTTGACTTTGTAAATGGCTTAGAATCCTACATCCCAGATTTTTTTTAGCATCATAATCTAACACCCTTTCTATCATAACTCATCTCTTTGCCATCTAAAAACATTTAGAGTCACAGTAGCAGTCATAAGTGCTATTATCTACAAATAAAAAAATGTCCAGGCACAATGGCTCACACCTGTAATCCCAACACTTTGTGAGGCTAGATGGGAAGACTGCTTGAGGTCAGGAGTTCAAGGCCAGCTTGTGCAACATGGCGAGATCCTGTCTCTACAAAAAATACAAAAATTAGCCAGGTATGGTGGTGGCACTTGCCTGTTGTCCCAGCTACCCAGGAGGCTGAATTGGGAGGATCAACTGGGACCAAGAGGTTGAGGCTGCAGTAAGCTGTGATTACACCACTGCACTCCAGCCTGGGTGACAAAGTGAGATACTCTTTCAAACTAAAATAAACTAAAAACTTAAAAATGTTAAAGCAGCACTATCTGGAGTA